AATGAAATTGCAATACATTACAAGAAACTTATGCTATGTAAACAAGTGAAGATTCCTTTTATGTATATTTGAAAATAAATTGCCCATACTGCCCTGAATTTCAATATTTACCCAAAGACACTAAGAAAATGCAATTTCTGTGGATTATTAAATTTAGTTACTACTATGAACTATTCCAGATGTATTCAAACTTTTTCCTTATGAGGCCCATTCCCAGTGTTTTGAGAACTCAAACTACTTCAGGGCCAAAGACCAAGTCATTCCATTTGCCCAGGGTTTTTATTGCCTATTATTAACTGGCTAAAAAATTGAATAAAATTAAATAAAATAGAATAAAATAAAATAAAATTGCACGAAAACGTGTTTTATAAAACAGCAGTAAACAGTAAAAACATAGTCCATTTTTGATCAAATCTTTTTACAGATCCCGAAAACCATAGAAACAGTGAAATGCTTCCACAAAGCCAAACTTCTCAGTGCTGTTCTGCTGCTCAAAGTGTTTGAATATGTCTGAGCACCGATCGGTGCAGGAGAACCAACAGCGTTTTAGTCACGGTCCAATTATCATTATCATTAACATTTTATGTACTGTGTTAGATTTGACACTTAATTGTAGGCCTGTTTAATCGTCGTTCCGTTCAAATATCTTGCCTTTTTTCTCATTCAGTTGAAAACTAGAAGTGTCATTTTTGACCATTTTTGGCTGAATATTTTTAATGGCCTCCCTAATAAATATAATTAACCAGTATTAACTACATGCTTGTCTAATGTTAGCAAAGTCAAACACATTGATAAATGTTATCATTCTCCATTTACCCTGGCAAAACGCAAGGATGCTACATCTTTCCAGCACTGTAAGCACAAAACATAGATGGAGGAAGGATGTAAGGTTTCCAGAGAGTGTCAGGTAATACTGGAGAGTATCTGCGTAATGGTCAGTCATTTCAGATTCACGTGAAATGTATAAAGATGGCTCATTTGCCATCTTTATATTATTAAAAAAGAAGACAGCCGGCCAGTGGCAGATGTTTGAAACATACTGTATAACTTATTACTTTAAAAAAAACAGAATTAAGAAGACACAAATTAATCGATCATTCAAAAAAATTTAAGCCATTTAAATATTGAAATACAAAATGGATATAAAATATCCATAATTTTCTGTTTAGATAGATAGATAGATAGATAGATAGAGTGTTTTATTGATCCCTGAGGGAAATTGTTTTGTCACAGGACCACATAATTATATGACATTACAGACACCAAATACTAACAAGGGGTTAAATGTAAAATAAGTGTAGCAGACCTCTTGACACCTCTCTGTGGTTTGTCAGTATATGATTGAGTATTTGAGGCAATGTTATGTTGGCCTCTGGCCCCATTCAGGTTAATTCATATCTACAATAACTGCTTTAATGGTGCTTAAAATGCAGACCCTTGCATCATACTCTGTTTTTCAATGTCTCTATTTTTTTAAGCGCAAAGTCCATAAAATTATTTGAAATCACATTGTCTATACACTGTGAACTGTAACTCCACTTAGTTCGAAGGTGTGGGCAAAAAATAATTGCATTATTAGCTACATTGGCCTTTTCATTTTAGTACCAGGAGTATTACTAAGTTGCTTAGAAGGACAAAACAAAGAAGTGGTGGTACTGCATGAATACCAGCCCAGGTCAAGCACTAGTTATAAGGGATTAAGTGTTAAATGAAAACAACCGAGAAAATGCTTGTTCTTTTATTGGGAGAAGAAGCTTACACATGGGGTGGTGTGGTGGTGCAGTAGGTAGTGTTGCTGCCTCACAGCTCCAGGGTCCTTGGTTCGATCTTGTGCTCAAGTGATTGTCTGTGTGGAGTTTCTGTGCATGTTCTCCCTGTGTCCATGTGGGTTTCCTGCTACCTTCCAAAAACATGCCAGTAGGTGAATTGACTAAGTTAAATTGCCCCTAGGTGTGCATGCGTGTGTGAATGTGTCTGTGGTGACCAGTGATGGACTAGTGTCCCATCCAGGGTGTATTCCCACCTCATGCCCAGTGTTCTTGGGATCCACCATGACCCTGATCAGGATAAAGCAGTTACTGAAAGTGAATGAGCTTAAACTATACACCTAAACCACTATTTATTTGTTTGTTTATTTATTCATTCATTCATTTATACCATTAGATTACAAATATGACAGCACTTACAAAGTTCAAGCACAATTAAGGTTGCTCTCTCTATATCTTCCAAACCTTTGGTGGGAGAGAGTGCGTAGCATGCATAATTAAAGACCAGGGCATGCCTCATTGAGCATTCCTCAGCTGTCATGGCTGGTACAGTATAACAGGGTTTCAAAACTACCAGAAGATTCCTCAGAGCCATCAAAATTGGTTCAAAAGAATGCAAATAATTTTTCTATTTGGATAAAACGATATGCAATATTAATAGTGTTTGTGAGAAACCTTGGCGTTTGTCTGGAAGCTACAATCCTTGACCATAACTTGACTGTCTCTGTGCTGTTGACAATACAGGGGTATGTTATTCACAGTGCTGTCAACATGAGAAAGGTCAGGTGAAATCTAGGGTGAGGCAGATGCAGACTGCTCAGGCCTGACTTCTGACTTCATTACCCACGTGTCTGAGCAATGGCAGTGCAGCAAAAGGTCCTTACCTGTCCTGGCATTCTGATTTCTAATTATCATAATACTTGCATTGCCTATTTTATTCTCCTAATTGTAGGTTTATTCTACTGATAAAACTTCACAAGTGGATTCCTCATTGTGTGCTTCTGCATGCATACCAAGACTGTCCAATATAGTGATGTATGAAACAGTATTTGTAATAAATACAACTTTCATACAGCCATGTAACCTTCTCACAGAGGCAGCGCTGCTTCTAAATGACAAGGAACTCAATCTGGAGTTCACAGAACACAACACTTACATACAGTGCAAACTGTAACTAGTGTTCTATTCCACCCTTCCTAACCACCAGGGGCAATGTGAAACACCTGGATAATTTAACAATACCATAAGAAACAGTACTGGCCTTAGGACTACCATGAATTAGTTATTATCTTAAGGCTTATGAGGAGCAGATGCTCTTTGTAGAGTATCATGTCACAGTAAAGACTGGACGATCAGCCCATCTATAGGCTAAGGTGATGACATCCACCACCCAGTGATGCTGTGCTGTAATGACTGCCATATACACCTTTAGTGTAGATGGGGACAGTGGGGTACCACTGTCTAGCAGTGTCTGAATAAGGATCCAGTGAACTGGGCAATGCACTGAGTCCAGCCTTTTTAAGGGCATACATGATCTGTGCACTAGGGGCCCTTGCATTTAGAAGTGTTTCCACTGTTTGTACCCACAAATCTCACCATACATATGGGATAGCTTATCTGCTGGAAAAAGAAACTGCAAGGTTATACTGACAACTACGGAAAGCAGTATTGGGTGCCAAAATCTGCACTGCCATCTCTAGGCTAAAAGCAGGACTATGTGCCTAGTTGCCAAATTATGTAAAATTTGTGGCAACCGTCAATGTGCACTTGTGGTCTGTCTGTGCCTCACCAAACCTCTCCCAAACCCGGGCTACCAATTCCAGGTGCAGACACCACTGCCCTGAATGTACACGCTGTCCTGACAGTGTATCCACTGCACCATTGTGCAACCATGGCAGATAGGTTGCCTTCAGTGAGGTTAGTTTTTGAGGTTAGAGGTTAGGTTAGTGTGGAGATTCTGTGCAAGACAGCTGATAAAGCTGACCATCGCAATGTTGTCTGAGCAGATCAACACATGGTGATGTGTCAGAACCAGCAAGACAAACTTGAGGGCCAGATGGCCCACCCACAATTCTACTGGTTATCTACATGCCCCCCAACCCCCACTCCTGCAGCACCACACTTCTCCCCAGCATGCAAAGTAGCCATCACTGATGGCTACTCCTTCTCTCTCTGCTGGGGTATTTCAATCAGACTCTTTATGTTATGCTCAGGCTCCTTTTTCTAAGCATGGTCTTAGAATCACCACTCTAGCTGCCATCCATATCGTCTTATAGCTATACCTCACATGGCAGTCTGGCTGAATGTGATTGGCAAGCATAACATTATCCACCACACGTTGGGGTGATAGGGTGGCTAGCATTCTCTTTGAATGTAGCTTCATGCCAATGAACCATGTAGCCTGCTTCATTGTTAGGGAGCTCTTTTGAGTGCAGTGTCAGAGTGAGCATAAGAATGTGTGTAAAGGGGGGGCCTGATGCTTAATGGGGATACATAGAAGCCAGTCATTCAAGTAACGAAATATCCTGGTGCCGCTGACCAACAGGGAGACTTGCAAACCCCTTTGCAGTGCTAAGGAGAGGTTAAAAGGAAGGACTTTGTATTGGCGTACTTGCCCTTGGAAGGCAAATCGTAAAACCCACCTGTGCTCCATGTCAATGGGAACATGAAAATAAGTCTTGCACAGATCCACAGATGTGAAACAAACTATGGCTGTACAGCTTAATTTACTGTCACTGACCCTTTACATATAAAAGGGGAGGGTCTTTAGGAACTGGTTGAACCCTCTCGAATTTAAATTTGAATGCAACCACAACCCTTCTACTGAATAATGAATGTAACTGAATAGAACCATCTGCTTTGAACTGCTGGGTCTACCTTTTCTATCACACCTCTGTCCAAGAGGGAAGGAACTTCTTGGGACAGAGCAACTATTTTTTGGGGGTCTGATAACACATATGATGGTTATGAGGTGTGAAATATAATACAAAGTAAAAAATAAAACATAAATTGGGTACAAAAAGAATTGAAGAGACTACAACTGACTGAGTTGCTGTTGTTGTTGTTTCGGCTGCTCCCGTTAGGGTTTGCCACAGCGGATCATTGGTCCACATATTTGATTTGGCACAGGTTTTACGCCGGATGGCCTTCCTGACGCAACCCTCCCATTTTATCCAGGCTTGCGCCCGGCACTGAGAGTGCTCTGGCTTGTGCAACCCCCAGTGGCTGGGTTGGTTCCCTGCCCAGGAATTGAACTTGGACCATGGCAGTGAGAGCACGGGCTCCTTAGCCACTAGACCACCAGGGAACCGATACTACCAATGAATACTGTACTATAATTGTAGTCCTCCATGCAGGAATGTCAAAACACAAGAACAAAAAAACAATACTGGCAGAGATGATAGTGGAAAGGAAAAGAAGATTTATTCTTTAAGGTCATATATAATGCAAATATAGTTGAACACCAACTATATTTACTATTACTGTCTAACAACTATTATTGTTTTCCGTAAGTACAACCATTACCTACATCTTACCTCAGTTTACAGTTTCATAGGTTTCTGTTTATATACAGTATGTATTTGGGTGTATATGCAATAAAAATCACCAAAAGGTTTTTGTGTGCTAGTTATGTGGCTATACGTTCATTTCAAAAAATTAAGTCCACCTAAAGGCAACATAAAGTGTCCACCCCAGCTCTTTTTCTTTCAGCAACAGTAAAGTGCCAAAGTTTCATCAATATTAAACCTACACCAAAACTCTTAGCTAAACTCATGAAAAAAAAAAAAAAAAGCTCATGAGTTTCTTGCATCATACAAGTTGATAAGATTTTACCACCCAACCTTGATAGCTCAAGATAAGTTTTGGCTATGTATCATTGCCTCGTCAATGCAGCATTAATTCTTTCTCATTAAGCTAGCCCAAAAGCTCTGGGGGCTTCAGTCACTGATAATTAATTTTCCTTCACTAATAACAAAGCCAATGACAATGATATTGTAGAATTGGAGGTGGGTGTGAGAGTAGACCATTGTCATTGAAGACTGGTAACTATTACTCTGATCAGGAATATCATCACTGTAATCAGAATGCACAATGTTTTTGAAACTTCTAAAAGGTTCATCTTGTTAAAAGTTTCAAAGAACATGAATTCATTAACAGTAGTGCAGCAGTGTCTCAGTGGCTAAGTATGTGCTAATAACCAGAAGACTGTGATTGCAAATTGAACAAAATTGTCTGCTAAATTTATAACATTAATTTATAAAGCTTCATTATATGCCCATATAAACTTCGCACCTTCATACCACCTACTAACAAAAAATCAAGGTATGTGTTGTCGATAGTTAATTAAGAAGAGCACCCTTACCATTAAAAGACCCATTTGTTCCTTGGAATCACTTGTCATGGAATCACTTGAAACAAATCAGCCACAACAAACAAAATGCTTCTAACACCTCTACTTGTGCCATAAGTGATTGGTGTTTCTTTAGACATTGACTAGCTTGGGGAATGAAGTTTTGCTGATATTAAAACTTTGGATGTTTTCTTTCAGATTATAATGTGAGCAACTGATGTAAGAGCTTGTAATCCAAAGTTTAACAATATACATTTATATACAGACTAAGTAGCTTCTCAGATAAAATATACTATGTAATCTCTGAATTTATGGAAACTGACAGTCTAATAAAGAGTGGCATGGAAAACATTATCTGTCCAGAGGTATAGACTAGTACAGTCACAATGCCTGGTGTATTCTGGGACATTTTTTTTTACAGAGTCCAAACGTCTGGGTCTGCTTCCAAGTGGGCATTTGTGTGTGTGTGTGTGTTTCCAATTCTAAAAAGCTAATCCAATTTTGTTAAATTATATTTCTCAGACAATATTACATCATTCTTCACTAATATAATCAGTGGTTTTACTGAGTAAAAGCAGTAACAAAAAATAACACATAGCAGTGTATTAGTGACTGTAACTATGTGTTACGAGCAAATGTGTGTAATGAAGGAAATGGTACATTCATATTTCTTTATTAGGAATAATTCTCAAACAGCAAGATTCAGGTGTCTCATATTAAAATCATACAGTAAATTGTTGTATCAAGTTAAGTATGAATTAGGGATAAGTGAAAAAAATTTATTTGGCTTCTGGACAAAACCAGAATGCTACTATATTTTGTCATGGCAATATCAAAGATGTATGAAATTGTTGAAGACCAGCCAGTATATGCTACCATGATCCATTGGCTTGATTTTATTCTTTTATGATGAGATTTGTTAATTACATTACCTTAGTTCATTTTTTACTTTTGTAATATAGACAAGGCAGATTAAGCAAATACAAATGATACTAACTTAGGAAGAGCTGCAAGCCCACTGCTGGCATTAATTAACAGGCTGCTGCTACCTCCATGACTTCCTTATTGAATATGATGACCGGATAGGAGAGCTTCCTTTTTATCTGCAGTAGAATAGGTTATGTTGACAATCTGCCAATAATGGGGCCTTAGTCTTCTCTGCTACTTAACATAATTAAGATATATCTGACTGTGCAGTGACTAATATGATTTGCATTCTGGCTGGTCAGATAGTCACCTCTCCATTTCCCTCTTGCCCTCCTGCACTGTACTCCTCTGTCTCTTATTTATAAATCCCTTTCTGACACATTCTTTTTCCATGTCAGCTTTTTTCTTACAGGCAACATTGGTTCAGGGATGTCATGCATTGCTGTTTTTCACCTTTATCTCGGACAGCCAGTGTTACCTCCTCCATGCTTGATGCAACAACAGCCCTTCAGGTTGATGAGGTTTATCAAGCCTCGTAGCAGCACAGTAAAGTGACTCTATGTTGTGTCTGTTCAGTATGGATTTTCCTTTGCTTGCCTTGTGCAGTCCTTGCATGAAAGCTGCCTGAGGGGCCTGTGTGGGGGTGCTTTTTGGTCTCCACTGTGTGTGTGTGTGTGTGTGTGTGTGTGTGTGTGTGCGCGCACGCATGTGTTGGCAAAAGCTGGCAAGCCCATGGGTGCACAGAAGCTTGTGTCAATAACATTAATCTGAGTTGTCTTCTTAGGCAAGGGAGCAGTGAGAGTTAGAGAAACAACTATGTGAAAAAGTGAGATGTTCAGCTTGGGTGCTGTGTGTTTCCAAGCTTTTCAAACAGCATGCCATACAAAAGCTGGAATAAATGGAAACCAGCATCAGCATCCATTCACTTTTGATCTCCTGTAGCGGCTAATCAATTAAGTCTTATGACGTAAAACAGAGTGATGGCTGCCATTTGTTCAGGAAAAGATTTGGCTGTTTTCCCTCTAATGCTCCTAGTTCCTGATAGAGTTAACAAACTGCAACAAAATGCACTGGTCCATTCTGGATACATTTCTGATGACATGCTGGGTTTGCAAGACTGCAGTAAGGTTTCATTATAGTTTCATCATTAATAGGAGAGTGAACAGTTATTCAGTGATATTGTTTTTATAATTAATGAGGCATTTTTCCAAATCTCGCACATTAAAGGAACAATATGGTTAAGTAACTCATATGGCTCACCACATAATGAAGATTTTTGCTCTCTTGAAAGCTTTTAAATGTGGAGGTGTCAGCCTGTGCTTGACCTGTTAGACTCTACTGCATTTAGGAAAATTAAATAAGGAAGAGAGGTCAAGGAATATACAGTATTTTATCATTTAAATAAAACTTCCTTTTGTTATGCATGCATTACATACAATAATTCAAATGTTCCACTTAAACAATATGAGAAATGATTTATTTATTTTAATAATGTTACTTTCTTGCCCGTAAGGAATATTTTAAATAAATGCAAACAAATTATCATACTTGAACATAAACTATTAATTTCCGTTTGCTCTCAATCACCAAGAATTCGTGTTGTAGCCTTTAACCATGCCCTGTTTCCCTTGGGCTATAAATATGACCCTTGGTGACCTGCACAAATCAGGTAATGGATATTAAAAATACACAAGCAGTTAAAAATACCATTAGGGCCATAATAAAAAGTTTCTCATGTCTGAACCCACCCACACACACACACACACACACACACACACAGTGAGGAAGATGACGAAGGAGAAGGAAAAAGAGCCCAAATGTCACAGTTTTAGAATTACATTTACAAACATAGTTTACAGCCATATAGAAAAAAGACAAACAGGACTACATGTGATGAGACGATACAAAGTGTATTGTATGATCTTATTGTGAACAGGGGTCATGGAATGAGCATTGGATGATTTTTATGAATATAGCAGCAGTTATTAGGAAGGGCAAGTCTACAGTATCCAGGTGAGATTATCCATTAAAGCAGGAAGAAGCATCTTAAGCATAAACTGGTTTTGGGTGTAAGTCATTAGGGTATCCATGTGGAGGACTAGAGCAGGAGTACAGACAACAGGAGTACACATACAGTATTTTATACTCAGAGTGAACATTTACTGGGAGCCAGTGCAGTATAGTACTATATATACATACCATATAAAGAACATACTACTGCACTCAATCTGGCAAGGACTCCACAAGTTTGTGCAAAACCTTATGATCCATTTTAGATCAAATACATCGGAGTGTCGTCTGAACACAAGCTTCAGTAGAAGAGATTAAACGTGGAAAATCTGACTTTGTGCTTCCATTTAAATAGGGAACTAGAAATAATGCAGAATCTTGAATATTATATATATATATATATATATATATATGAACAGCCCAGCTACTATAAGCACTCTTACGTTACTACATTTATATATATATATATATATATATATATATATATATATATATATATATATATATATATATATATATATATATATAT